AAAAAAAAAAAAAGGTGATATCCACTCCTGGCAAATATACAGGAAATTGGGCACTTTGGATACACGGCTGGTGGGAGGGTGAATGGGTGTAACCTTGCTAGAGGGCAACTGGCAATGTGTAATAAAAGGCTTAACATATGCATTTCTTTTGACACTGTAATTCCATTTCTAGGATTTCATCTTAAGCACATAATGAAGGATTTGTGCAAATATTTGGCTCCCAGGGTTATTCACTGCGGCACTGTTGAAAGAAGTGTAAACCCAGGGGCCACCTAAATTCCAACATCAGAGCCTGGGATGAATAATCTGCAGATCTCTGTAGCCTTAAGGCAGTGCTGGAAACGGGTTGTTAACCGCATGGAAAGATGATTGCAATACTGTGTTTGGGGGAAAACAGGCTGCGAAATGGTACCCAGGGTGTCTGACATGCATGGAAAATACGATAAACTTATTTTCAAGTAATGTGCTCAATATACTTTTCTTTCTTTTTTACATTTTTATTTTGAAATTTGATTTTTAGAGCGAGGAGGGAGAGAGAGAAACATCGATTTGTTGCTCCACTTATTTATATATTCGTTGGTTGTTTCTTGTATGTGCCCTGACCGTGGATTGAACCCGCACCTTGGTGTATCCGGATGACGCTCTAACCAACTGAGCTGCCTGGCCAGGGCTCAATATACTTTTCTTTAACTTCCAGACACCTTTTCAGGCGAAGTATCTCTAAATTTAAAGCAATCAGTCCAACTTTCAATCTGAAAAATGTGCAATAAAAACACGATTTTTTTCTGTGTTTCTAGACTTCTTGGAAAGAAGTATATTTATTATACTTTTTCAGATTAATAATTAAACCCAATGCTTTTATTTTAGAGTCCTACACCTGAGAGTAGATCAAGTATATTACTAGAAAATGTAACATACTACTCAAAAATAAGTAAATGCTGTGAGAATGCCTGGTCTATGTCTATTTGGCAGAAAAAAAGGTCAAGAAGAGACAACTCTATGCTCACCATGGTTATTTCTGGGATGTGGACTCCTGAGCGTTTTATAACTTTTCCCCCCTCATTGATATGTTACTATGTTTGAACAGTAAATACAAATTATTTTGAAATCCCAAAGAAGTAAATTATTTAAACTTAAAGCGTCAATTCATAATAATGTAAGAGGCTGTTTCCACCTGCGTCTGAAACCTGGAACTCTGGAAAAGCAGGGATCTGGTGTCAGGAAGTCCCAGCTCCGGTCCCTGGTGCTGTTCTAGGGGCGGGGACACCATGGAAACAAGAACAGACATGGGCCCCACTCACCAGGAACACTGCTGGCCGGTGGCAGAGACAGGCCTCCGTCCCATGACTGACGCCAGTGCCGAGGAACACAGAGGTATAAGGACTCCAGCCCTCTGAGAGTGAGGCAAAGAGCCCGTCCTAGACTTAGGGGCGAGGGCACCCCTTTCTCTTGAGGAAGTGACAAGAGGCAAGACCCAAGGCATGCGCAGGTGCTCCAGGTGAAGGAGGCAGGGAAGTCTACGCCCTGGGTCACCTACCGACGCACCCCCACGGGGTCTGAGGACTTACGAAGCGGCGCCCCAGGCAGGACGCGGGACCCGCGGCCCATCAGCTGCCAGGCCGTGCGGGCAGACACCTGTCTCATCTGCCACACGGGAAAGAAACAATGAGCTGCTCTGCGGTCCCTTCGCTTGGCTTTTCTCTTTCAAGTAAACGGTAAACCACACGAGTCCCAGCTGTTGCTCCCCACACTCCTGTTTTGAGTTAGGTCCCCACCACCCTATGTCAGGACTGGTGGGAAGGCAAGAAAAAAGGAGAGGAAGCTCTTTGCTCTTCCTCTAAGGTGGTCCAATCCTCCTGTAAATGGCCTCAGGAGCTGGGGCTCCACGCACTGCCTGAGGGGACGCTGCCCCCCCTCTGCTGTCCCTGTGCCGTGAAGGAAGTTCCAACAGGATCATCTTCCCAGAGGCTCAGACCCTGGTGGGACAGGAGGGCCGGGCACCCACAGGCGGGGACCGCACGGGGACCCGCGGCCGCCAGACTCACCTTCCAGAGCAGCACAGCCAGCAGGAGGAAGATGAGGATCCCCACCAGCAGGCTGATGGCGATGATCCAGCCCACGACGTAGCCCCGGGGCTCCAGGCTGTGCAGGGCCTCGAACACCACCTGGGAGGCAGAGCGAGAGTCAGGGCGCTTCCCGCCGGAGTGTCGCTGGCAGGATGGCGCCCAGCCTGGGCTTGACATTTGGAGGGAACGAGGGCAGAAAGCATTCCCCCCCACAGGAGGACGAGGGGAACAAAACGGACTACAAAACGCAGCAGTCGCTCTGGGAATGGAAATGAGGCCTCTTTGCAACACATGCCCACTTGCTGTGTGACCTTGGGTCAGGTCCTTTACCTCTCTGAGCCTCATTTTTCTCATCTGCGAACCAGGCAGAACAGCATCTCCCAGAGACTTCAAGGGGATCATGCGGGTAGACCCCCAGCACAGCACCTGGCAGAGCTCACCCCTGACAAATGGAGGTGCTCCGATTAGCATCACCATTGCTGGCAGGGAGATTTTTTTTTTTTTGAGGATATGCATGGTTGGCTACTCTTTAATTTTTAAAAACTTTTTATTGACATCTAACCTACATAGAGAAAAGTATACCTAACCTAAGAGCACAGCTCACTGAGTTTTCACACACTGAATGCTAAATGCATCTATGTAATCCATACTGAGATCAAGAAATTGAATGTGACCAGCACCCCAGAAGTTCCCTTCACTTTCCTTTCCAGTCACCTGTCCCACCAAGAGCAACACTACCCTGACTTCTAAGAGCCTGGATTAGCGTCACCTGCTTGTGCCCTCGATATAACTGGAATTCAACATTATGTTTGGGAGACTCAACCGGGTTGTGGCTTGTTTGTTTTCATTGCTGGATAGTGTCGCACTGTGTGAAGACACAATTTATTTATCTAGCCTACCCACTTAGGGGCCAATACAAAGGATGATTTTCAGACACTAGGCAATGCTGAAGGAGGAATACTTGGGATTGGGAGGTGGTGGGACAGAAATGGGCCGTAAAGTCTGTCATCATAAGCCCGCTGTTTTCTACCTGGTTCAGATTAGAGAGTCCCGTGTTTAAAGTCACATTCATGCCTTTGGGTTCTTGCCCCTAAAAAGCTATGTGTTGAATCATCTCCCACATTCAGAATCTCTCGTGGTGTCTTGTACAGATGAACTATGAGACATTATTGGCCATGATGGGTGACTTTAGGGAACCAAGACGCTCCTCTGAGTTTCCTCCTCTGTGAAATGGGGTCTGAAGAAACTTCTTGTTGACGGCAAAGTACTGAGACAGGCTGTGAGCTCAGATGTAAAGGCCAGGCCTTTGGGTGGCCGTGCTGGCTTCTCAGGGACATTGCCTGCCCCCCTTCATCCCAGCGAAGCCACGCTGGAGGTATGGTTTCGTGGACACAGACACAGTGAGAGATTCCGCTACAGTTTAGTCTGGCAAATGCCACAAGAATGCGCCGTCACTTCCCCGGAATGTGTGCTTCATCTTTTATTGTTTTTAGTGATGCCGGTCAGCTTCTTGGACGTGTGCTAGTTGCTTTGGCAGAGCTGCTTCCCGCACATCACGACTTGAGTAAACTCCTCTGTGGGCGAAGATCCGAGCATCCTGCTGTTCTAGGAAGTCACGTCTTGGATGAAAACCCGGAGGAAGGAACGGCAGCATGGATCACAGGGACAGACACGGCAAGCAGGTCTTGTGTCCACCACTGATGAGCTGGTGGTCGTACCTGTCTCTAAGCATCTTTTCTCTCTGTCCTCATTTCCACTCCCAGTTACTGCCCCAGTTCAGGACTGGTCTTCTCTCACCAGTACTGTTTCGGGAGCCTTGGGGAGGCCTCCCTGCTGCTGTCTCATTGTGTAGCTTCTCAGCTTACACCACGGATGGCTTCCCTTTACACTGCATATATATTGTAACTCAGGGTACTAGGCTCTGCACGATCCGGTCTCCTTCCCACCTTTTCAGCCCCTCGCAGGATGTGCATTCATGACATTCTGGCTAATTATAGAGTCATCTCTCCCATAAGACCTGGCTTTTTGTCCCCCTGAATGCTCTTCTGTTCTTGTCCGTTTGACAAACTCCAATGTTGCTCACCTTACAAATGTTCCTACCCTTTGATCCATGAATTCTGTACTTAAAAATTTACCCAAAGGTAAGAAACATAAAGCACAGAAAAAGTGTTTTATTCAAAGATGTTCACTGCAGAATTATTTATATTGGTGCAGAAGCAGAAATATTCTAAACATCCAACCACAGGGCAATAGATAAGTAAGTTATGATCCATTGTGAGGTAGACTACTACAGAGCTATTAAAAATGGTGACAATAAATCTGGCTGTCAAAGTGTGATTTAAAAAAATTTAAAACATAACTCTCATACAAAAATACAGAGAATACACATTAAAGACTTATTTAATTCCATTATTGCGGGAATCAGGAGGATGGTAAAGCCAGCTCACAGAAGGATCTGAATACTATATGTGTAGTCACAGAAAAACGAAAAAAGAATTCTAAAATCAGATATGAAACTGGTTAATAGCCGAGAGGGCAATAAATTATATAACCTTTTGGATTATATTTTTGGCTAGAAAGAAATCATTTTCGTCTTTTCTGGAAAAAGTTGTTTATAACTTATCTGTCTTCTATGGGCAAATATGTAACTTCACAGAAGCTGGGCCCTAGAGGGTCAGGCAGGCGTCTGAAACCAGCACTGTTCTCTAATTTTTCTTTAAATATGTTTTTATTGATTTTAGAGAGAAAGGAAGAGGGAGGTAGAAACACTGATGAGAAACATCTATCAGCTGCCTCCTGCATGCCCCCTACTGGGGATCGAGCCCGAAACCTGAGCACGTGCCCTGACTGGGAATCGAACCGGCGACCTCTTGGTGCACGGGGCGATGCTCAACCAACTGGCCTGTTCCCAAACTTTAATATGTACAAGAACCACAAGGAATCCAGCTACAGTGCAGATTGTGAAGCAGCCAGTCAGGCTGGGGCCTGAGACTACATGTCAAATAAGCTCCCTGCTGAGGCCACGGCCGCTGGTCCATGACCGCACTTAAGTAGAAAGGGGATGGCAAATGCTCCAAGATGCCATTGGAAGGACATGTTTTTGCCTGATTTTCAACTTTTAAATACTTTTGAAAACATGATAATAACATGGGGGAAACTAATAAATGTTATAATGTTAAGTGAAAAAGTCAGGGTATCAATTTAATATGTAGAAGACTTCAGCTTTGCAGAAAAAAAAAAGGGTAGAAAAATGTAAAACTGAAAGGTGGTTTCTGAGATTATGGGTGTTTTTTCTCATTTCTACTTTTTTACTATTAAAAAAAAAAATTCAACTGAACATTTAAAGCCAAGTTAAAAAAAATTAAAAAGAGAGGCTTTGCTCCAGTACCTCCTCTTCCGAGAAGCCTGCCCACTCATCTCTCTCTTCTCAGCAGAATTCATCATTCTCTGAGCTTTTGGAAACATGGCAATTTCTAACCTCTTTTAGCAGAGAAAAACTACTGTAGCATCCCAATGCATAAAACAGAAAAATGTGGGTTCTCTAGTTGTAAAGAGGATGGGCAGCCAGAGCCCTGCCTGCT